AGAAAGAAAGAAAGAAAAAAAGAGTCTGGCTTTGTCAGTAAAGAAAGGACAATAATATTTACAGAAAATTTTCTATACTCAAGCTTCAAAAACGTAGAATTTGGACTCGGTATGCAGCAAAAATGGTTGAAGCAATCTATGGCTAAAAGGGCAAACCTTGGAAAGGAGAACCGTGACACGAGAGGAAAGACTCTTTTCCTTTTTGAAGGGAAGTGATGATATGTGATCATGCAAATGCAAATGTCTGCGGACAGCGCTGTTTGCTTGTGGGAAGAGAATTTTAATGTGTACCCTATGCAAATGCGTTTTATAATAAAACAGAATGTGCAAGGCCTTCTGAGGGCGGGGAGGGAAGCAGCAGCTCTAGACGCTGCACTTGAGTGTGGTGGGACGCAGCCAGAAGCACGTGCCACTCGCAACCCTGAACAGACTCCAGCAGAGAGGGCACGTCAAAACCCCACTCCTTAAAAAAAAAAAATCTCTCCTATGTTCCACTGAGAACTGGATGCCTCATGAATGAACACCTGCAAGATCTTTCTTTACCTGGTGCTTAACCTTGAGCAACTCTGTGCTTAGAGTGAACCTCAGGAAGAAGACAGTAAAAAAACCCAAAAAAACAGAAGTCTCTTTTCTGTACTAAGTCACGGGGAAAATGATATGAACTGCACAGTAAAGACTAGAGATGACTATAAAGAAAGCTCCTGAAAATCATTTAGAGTCTTTGTGTCAAAATTAGCATGAAAGTCAAAGCCCATTTAAGGCCCAGTCCGAAGTATTCGTGAAAACAGTGAGCAGGAGGCCTATTTACTGATAGCTGCGTATCTGAAGCAGTTATTAAAAAGAAATTGGGAAAAAGTCTGTATCTCTACACTGGAGATATTTAAGCAAGCCATTTTGAAAGTGTTAAAAAATTAAAATTGTAGAAAGCCGAACCATAGGTGCCATGTTTTGCCTGAAGTGGTAAAAATACCATCTGCCTCAGTCTTTTTAGCAGCAGGCTTATTTCGAGTAGCAGTAGGCTAAGCTGCAGGCATACGCTCGGCTCCAGCTGGGGAAAATACACAGACGTTTGTAGATGTTTTTCTAAGCAAGAGTAGTCAACATATTCGTTTTCTTTCAGACATATATATGTTACCATAGCAAACCAAGCATGAATGTGGTCCGAGAAGCTTCTCCACCAGTCCAACACGTACCCATGAATTCCTACAATTCAATAGGTGGCACTCTTCCCTCTAGCACTGCATCAAATCAGCCGTGCCTAACTGAGGGGCCAGAAGCCTGGGGAACATGGAATAGTCTGAGAGATATACACCCAGGGCTGCAGACCAACCACTGTAATTAAGATCCCCACAGCACTGCGTATAGGGGCTTCACTGTTAGCACACCGGCTTTTTGGGTCACAATTCACTTCTGGTAATTATATTCTGTCTAATCAAACTTCTCCTCAAGTTTTAACTAGGTAAGTAAATCACTTCTTGTTTTTCTATTTTAGAAGCTACTGGGCAGAATCACCTTATGGTTACACAGCTCCCAGCCTTGCCCAGACCCCAGGTGGATGAGTCCCAGCGGCAGGAAGGGTGATCCCATGATTGTCTTAACCACAGTACAGAGGCAGGAGAGACATAATGAATTAATGGTTGTCAAGTGCTTTGATATCTTAAGATGAAAGGCACTGTAGTAGTGTGAAGCATTCATATCCAGACTCTATCGCAACAGCAAATCAATTAAAAAGTAATTCAATTTCTCATCAGAGGGTTTGAGTACAGACCACTGTTTTGCTGAATGTGACAGTCTCAAGATCCAGCTGAAACTGACTTCGAAATGATCACCTCTTCCTCTGCTTCCTCATCATTCTGAGACTGACAAAATTTGACAGATGGCTTATAATAAGGCCACAAAGCACATAGCCAAAATAATTTCTTATGGTCCTCAACATCTGATTTTTCAGATAAAATTTGGTTTTTGGGTGAATACTCACCACTTGGAAATAACAAAATTTCCAGCAACAAACACATTTCACGATGGTCACCAGAAATGGCTGTTGCATTTTTCAAATGTAGAGTTACAGATAAACCCAAGGGCAGCCCTAAGTTGCTAACTAAGCATAGCACCTGCATTTGTCAGCATGAGCACCATGCCCATGCAAAACAGAGATGCCTAGACCTTGGGTCATGATATGTATTACTAAGAGCCCATGGTACATCACCTAAGAGACAATATCCCAAGCTACACCCTGCAGACATCTGCCCCATACCTGCTAGAGATGGACATAACCTTTTTTTCCCCCATGTCACTTGTGTTTAGGTCTGTGGAAGGATGATAAGCCTAGATGAATTGCTTAGATCAAGTTATGGCCCTTAAATGTCAGAACCGTATCACATAGTCCAGAGGGGTGGAGTTCTATTTACTGGCACAAGAAATACGGTCACTACGCACTTGTGAAGGCAGCTGTAGGGCTATTGAACATTGAGATGGACTGTGTTATATAGTCAACATATTCTTTTCCTTTTTTAAAAATGTTTTTTAAAATTTATTTGGGAGGGAGGGGTAGAGAGAAAGGAAGGGAGAGAATCTCAAGCAGGTTCCCCACTGTCAGTGCAGAGCCTGACTGACGTGTGCTTTGATCTCACGAACCGTGAGATTATGACCTGAGCCAAAATCAAGAGCCAGATGCTTAACTGACTGTACCACCCAGGTGCCCCTATAGTCAATATATTCTTAAAATGGCTCAGTGAAGTCTACAACCCTCAGTTCCAGACCTCCCAGAAGCTCCTGCACTTCTAGAATAACACTAATGCAACTCATCATGCGCATACATTTAACAAGCCCTCCTATACATAAGCTTGTGCTGGGTACAAATGATGTGACCATGAATGAGATGCCTTCAGAGCTCTTACATTCCAGTGTAAGAAAAAAAAAACAGAAACAAGCTACTAAAGGAAAATGATAATTTTAGATTATGATAAGTGTTAAGAAGGAAAAATAGAGCAAAGGGGAAGGGGCTACTTTGGATAGGGAGGTCTGGGTCAAGGAAGCGTGTGATGGCGAAGTCTACATCAGCCTCGTTCACAGTGCCCGCCAGCACTAGCACAGCACCTTGCACCTATTAAATATCCAGTAACTGGTGGTTGAGTGGATAAAGTGGATGAAGGAATGAATGTGGACCTCAGGTATACAAGATAAGAATGCCCCCCACCCACATAAGAAGAGTATCTTCTCTCAAATTTGGAATTGGCCTAAACAAATTCCAGCACTATCTAAAACTGCTTGCTTTATACAAAGGAAAGTGAAGGAAAACCAGAGAGGTTAAGGGTTCTTAGATTTTGCAGTGAGTTGGTGGCAGAGCCACTGCTGGGTCCAGGGGTGTTCTTCTATCTGTGCACCATAATTTTTTCCTTTCTTCTAAGCTCTTCAATTGTCATGTGCCTCTGCAATAAGAAACCCTGAAGGAGTTCTCTGAGTCGTAAGTAAGCATCAAGGGTCAACAGTCATTCTATTGCTAAATCATGTTGACTTTTCCCTTGGTTTTTTGTTCATAAGTTAGCTTTCCTTTCCTCTAACACAGTGAAACCCCAGCCTTTATCTCCAAGCTAGTTTATTACAACCTTCCTAAACAATCTTTTTAACCCTACTGATACCTGTAACATGTGTCAAAAGCTTCTTTTCTCTCTGATTGATAAAGAAACCCTATACCAGATTTTCTCCTGCAAGGAACTTCATGTGTCTTCTATTTTTTACTCATGGCCTCACTCACTCACCCACTCATTTACTCCCTCCCTTCCTCCTTCAGGCACTATTTGCCATGTGCCAAGCACTGTGTTAAGCACCAAGTATACAAAGACAAATAAGACACTGCCCCTCCCCTTGAGGAGCTCACAGTCTATGGTCTGCCTCATAAATAGGTGGTTATAATATTACCGAGTAAGTACAGTGACTGAGAGGTGTACCATGTAATAAAACGTGAATGAAAGCAAAAGTCTGTGAGACTGAGAAAAGGAGGGGCTACAGCTCAGTCAAGGCAAAGAGAGGACAAGCGTGGAGCCGTGGGTGGGCACCTCAGGGCTGCCAGGAGAGCACAAGGTTCTGGACGGGCCCTGAGTGGTCACTGCAGGTTTCAGTTGTCCCCTGTGAGCAGAGCCCTTACAGCTCATATTTCTTCCTCCCTGTCTTTGGAGTGCAGGTGTGCTCATGCCCTGGATATTCCTGATGGTGGCATAAACCAGAGGGTTAGCACGTTTCTTTAGACAAGCAGCTGTATGTGTCCCACACACCTGCTAAAATGTTCCGTTTGTCCCTGAGGGGAAAACAGAGTGTGACCCAAGTGTGTGCTGAGGCCTGCACTGGTGCACTGAAATCTGAACTCCCGTGGTGCCTTTTAAACAAGGCCATGTGTCAGAATGATCTGTGGAGCCTTTTTTTTTTTTTCCCCCCAAATACTTACTTTCTGCCCCTGTCCTGCTCTCTGCACCAGAGGATTTTGATCTTGATCAAAGAGGGTGTGATGCTGTGGTAACCTAGGCATGTGTGTTTTCAAAAGCTCCACAGGTGACAGGACAACTACTACTTTTAGGAGTCTGAGTCTGCTGTGTACAGGGCGTCTCGGGTATTATCTGATGGAGATAAAAGCTATTTTCCATCCCCAGGCTAAAGCCACTTTTCTAGCAATGGTTAATTATCCAGTATATTTGTCTTCATAGTACTTACCAGCACATGACATTATATTATGCATCCATTTAGTTGTTGTCTCCCACACTGCATTGTAAATGTCCCAAAAGGAAACACTTTACCTGGCGCACGGTTATAGTCTCAACACCTAACACCATGTCTGGAGTGAAGTAGGCACTCAATGAGTACACTTACCTGCTAATGCCTGTTACTTAACAGGGAATGTCCCTCAGCTCTGAATGGGATGATTCTCATTTGACCTTTCAATTGTAAATAAAAACCAAACACCAGATTGAAATGTAGAAAACTGTGTAGTATGTATAAAATCTACTTACCTTAGCATAGTCTAATCTTCCCTTCTCCTGAGCCTAAAGTAGAAAGAGGGGAAAGTAATTTGTTAGTTCTTTAAAAATTATGTAGTGCTTCTAAAACTTTTACTTCTCCAAGAATAAAAGTCAATTCTCTCTCCCTTGGTCCCCCCACCATATATCTTTCTATATATCTACATAGTTGTATCTCTATACAGCTGTATACATATAACACTTTTAAGCATATTGAAGAGTGTGAAGAACAGCACAGTGAGCACATATATACATTCTATCTAGACAGGACAGTAGCAGACATGTGATTCTTCACCCTGCCATGTTTCAGCACAAAACACGTCTTACAAGCACAGGGTGTTTTATACATAACCACAGGACTGCTACAACATTTTATTTTTAAAAAAATGTTTATTTATTTCTGAGGGATGGGGAGGGGCAGAGAGAGAGAGAGAGAGGATCTGAAATAGGCTGACAGCAGAGAGTCTGATGTGGGGCTTGAACTCAAAAACTGTGAGATCATGAGCTGAGCCAAAGTTGGACACTTAACTGACTGAGCCACCCACATGCCCTTGTTATCACATTTTAAAACAATTAATTCTGTATTATCTTACAATCCATATTCAAATTTCTACTATTGTCCTAAGAGTATCCTTTATAAAAACTTCCTCTCCCCCCAACCAAAATTAAACAAGATTCACACATTACATATGGTTTCTTCATCTCTGGTTAGCCTTTTATTTTTTAATTTTTAAAAAAAAAATTTTTATAGTTCTTATTTATTTTTGAGACAGAGAAAGACAGAACATGAGTGGGGGATGGGCAGAGAGAGACACACACAGAATCCGGAACAGGCTCCAGGCTCTGAGCTGCCAGCACAGAACCCGATGTGGGGCTTGAACCCAAGAACCGCGAGATCATGACCTGAGCCAAAGTCGGACACTTAACCAACTGAGCCACCCAGGCGCCCCTCTGGTTAGCCTTTTAAATCTAGACTACACTCTCCCCATATTTTAAGAAATGAAAAGAAAATCCTTAATCTTTTTTCATGCAAATCATTGACTTTTTTAAAAAAATATTTTTATTTATTTTTGAGAGAGAGATAGAGACAGCATGAGCAGGGGAGGATCAGAGAGAGAGGGAGGCACAGAATCTGAAACAGACTCCAGGCTCTGAGCTAGCTGTCAGCACAGCTAGATCATGACCTGAGCCGAAGTCAGACGCTCAACCGACTGAGCCACCCAGGCGGCCCGCAAATCATTGACTTTTTGAAGAGTCCAGGGCAGCTGTCTTATAAAATGTCTTTTTGGATTTGTCATATTATTTCTTCGATGTGTCATTTAATTTGTCCCTGTTCTGTTTGCAAACTGAAAGTTGGGTCTGAAAAAGCTTGCTTAAACAGTTTTGGCAAGAGCACTTTATATAGAAAATTAGGTACTTAATACTGCATCAATTCAGGAGGCACAAAATATCAGGCTGTTCCACTCTTAGTAATGCTATAAATTTGATCACTTGGTTAAGGTGGTAACTATCAGATGGTTCCATGTAACGACATGTTTCCTCCTGTATAATCAGTATGTAATCAGTGGGGTCAGTTTCTTCCCCCACTTCCTTTGGTATAATTTTTATCATGCTGTTATTATGTTGAAAGACCCCTACCTCTAGCTCCCACCCCGGGATGAGGATAGAGAAAGTGGAGTTGAGAAAGACATCGTATAGGTGGTCATATTTAAAAAATATTTTTAGTTGTTGAAAATTTAAAGTGAACACATACCGTACTCAAATATGTCATGTATAAAATCCTAACATGACAGAGACAACCAATGTATTAATCTTTGTTGATTTGTCAACTCATTTTTTGTAGACTTCATTAAAACTTCTCCTGCCACCTCTGCACAGAATAAGAACCCTTCAATTTGCAAACAGGTTAGGTCTTGAGGCCAAAATGACACTATACAGGTAATGAAGGTGGGCAGATTACTTTAATGAGATTAAAGAAGATTTTTAACACTCGCCCTGACTCTTCTTGCTTCTTTACAATTTTTTAAAAAATTTATGCAAAGATGCTTGCATTTTGTTTTTCTTATTTTCATAATAAGCAGCTTAGAAGAAGACACTGGTCATGTATAGCTTTTGGCCCCATTACAAACCACTCTAGGTGAAAATGGTGACTTGAATGTCTTCTATGAAACAAAAGGCCCCCGCAATCGATGTACTATAAAAAAGAATCTGGGAATTTCAATCTGCTCTTGAAATTTTTTTAGGGATCTAGATTGTCAGTGAACTAGGAAGGGTCTGAATGTAGTCCTGAGATGCATTATACCATAAGGAGTATGAGTCAGTTCTTGCAGAAATTTAGAAACTAGGTTTCTTCTTCTCTCTGTTTAGGTATTTTATATTTACTTATTTGTGTGTCCATGGACATCTTCTCCCCAAATAGTCTTGTCTACATTGAAAATCCCTCTTTCTCTACACTAACATCTGTGCTTTACAAAGAACCCTTGAGCACGTCTGTCCAGGGCACATGAGTGCCCTAGACCCAGCCACTAAACTTTGTTAGTGTGCAAATATCAATGGGCCTTGATCCAGGGAATAATCCATGGCTTGTGACCAAAATTTCGGCAGCAGCGTTTCACAATTTTGCTTAGTCTTTAAGTTCTCAAACTTCCAGCTGTCTCTTGAATTCACTTTAGGTTAAGAGATCTCTGACACTGAGGCCAATCCCAGCTGTGGTCACACGCTTTCCACCTTTTCAACTGTTCACCCTTTTCCTTGTCTCTTGTTGATTAGCACGGATTGCTCAAACACAGCACTTTTCAAATGATGTACAAACAGGGAGCTCCACAGAACTGTTCCTCCTGTCAAACGACTCATTCCTGCAACAAATTTGCTATTTCCTCACTACTTTCAGTTGTATTCCTCTTCTAACCAGGTCATCATTCTGCATCTTTCAACATTCTTATCTTTCAGTGTTTCATAAAGAGTTTGTTAAAAGTGTTGAAAGTGATATTTGTTGAAAGTTAGGAAGCCAAGATTGCAAGGTAAAGTGCAGAGAAACGATACAACTTAGGATGACTTAGGGTGGACTTTGCCTTTTGGAAGTAGTGAGCCATTTTCCAGTTTGTCTCATTAAAAAAAAAAAAAAAAAGAAAAAAAAGAAAAAAGAAAAATCAACAGCCGTTTCCTTAGGCAGAAAGAGTGACTATAATGTTGGTTACAGAGACCATTAGGGTGGTCCTATCAGAAATTTTTGTACAACCATTTTTCCCAGACTTTGATTCTAAACGGATTATCTTAGAGAATTCTATTATTTTGAAGTACTTGTGCTTTATCAGTCACAAGTTCCCTTCAAACTCTGTCGTTTCATGGTGTATTTCCTGGCTTGGTTACCACTCTTCCACTCAGGACAGAGATGCTCTGCTGGGGATGGTGGCACAGAAATACCATGGATGTAATCCATATCTGTTCAGGATCAGCTCCTAAAGGTTTGGAAAGCTGGGAAATCAGAAGGCTACACAAAATGACAGCACAATTACTGGAGCCATTTACAACCTGAACAGGGATTTCCTGTTGCTATGCAGCTCACTTGAATGTTCTTTTTATTTTATCACAACACACATTCCAGTTCTGTGAAACCACTTCATCCTGGACTGCTTAGTAAGCTTGTACAGAAAAGCACCAATTATTTTATAAGACAATATTATAAATATTTAAGTCTTTATAGGAAATATGATATATACGTATTTCCAGCTGTTGCTGTGTGTTAGTATCTACATAGGTCATATACGCACCTTAGAGTACACATTCTGATACACATTTGTGTTTCCACAAAAGGCTTTTAGAGCTTATGAAAACATAGCACACTAGAAACTGATGGAAATGAGATTCAATCCCCTATATAAGTAATATTCTCATTACACTTTACCTTTTCTAGTTCTTTTTGCAAAATAGTTAACTTTGGGAGAGGACATAGTTTCTCTTTCACCTGATGATGTCTCTTTCACTAAGTAATTATCTATTGTGCACCTACTATGTGTCAGGCAGTGCTTGGGCACTGGAGGTGGAGCCATGAAAAGAACAGATAAAAATCTCTGCCCTGTGGAGCCTCTACTCCAGGGGTTGCAGTCTTGTTTTGGTTAGGCTTCACATACAGTCTCCCTCTAGAACCGAGGTTGTATGAGAGGAGAGCAAAGTTCTCTCCTGCCCACAACTGTATTCCATGTCTAGATTGGGACCAGTACAGAGCATATGGCCAATAGTATCTGGTGAATGGATGCATACATGCATACATGGATAAATGCTTTTTTTTTTTTTTTTTTTTTTAATATGTGTTGGTTATGTACTGTCTATTTAGGAAACCTAAGAAGCAAAGTTCATTTATACTCACTTCTAGATCTAGGAAAGTTGGGTGTTTCTATTCAGAGCACCAGTATGTAATTAATAGGGAACCATTAGCTGATGTTTGACAACTAATTTTTACCCATATTGAACAATACCATGTTTTCACTTGAGTGCCCAACTTCTATTTATAAGTAGACCAAGGAGGGGAATCTAGAAAATAAATCCAAAGAATTCATGAAAATCAAACAACAAAAGGATAAAACAGAGAAGAATGATCTAGTAGCCTGCCAACAGATATAGTGGTTTAGTGTAATTAAGTGCCTCAACCCGAGGGACGCCTGGGTGCCTTGGTCAGTTAAGTGTCATGATCTCACTGTTTTGAAGTTCAAGCTCCGTGTCGGGCTCTGCGCTGACAACTCAGAGCCTGGAGCCTGCTTCAGATTCTGTGTCTCCTCTCTCTCCGTCCCTCCATCATTTGCACTCCATCTCTCTCTCAAAAATAAATAAACAGTTCAAAAAAATAAATAAGCCCCTCAACCTTGAAAGCAATGTGTTGAAGTGAAAAGAGCCTGGAACAGAAACCTCAGGACAATTCAAGGTGCATACCTCAAAGGTTATGGTGTTAAGTAGGCCTTGTCTTTGGAGGAAAGCAAGTGGCCTAATATATTTTATTTTATTTTAATTTTTTAATGTTTTTATTTTATTTT